CTCAAGTATGTGGGGCAGTAACAGGATTTTACACAAGATCACTAATATTGATAATCAGTGTTGGGTGTTATATGTATACACATACAGTACTGTGTGAACATTTCCGGCACTTGCTGTAAAGTGAAGACTTCTTAAAAATATATATTTTATTAATTAACATAAAAACAAATCAAATCAGTGTTTGATGGCCACCTTTTGGGTCCATGGATGAGGACCCATGGACCCATCCCACCCAGGTAATTTTCATTTTGAATTGTTACCTTCGGGCAGACGGTAGAAGATACTGAAAACTCGAATGAAGAGACTAAAGAACAGTTTCTATGCCAAAGGCATATCTATTTTAAATACTGGAATAACTTAAACAGAACATCATGTGCAATGCTGAATATGAGTCGTGTAACTGTCTGCTGAATGTAACATGTCTTGTGTATGGTATGGTGTGTTTTTATTTTAGTTCCTGTTATTTATTATTTATTAGATTTATTTATTTTATTTTAGATTTATTTTATTAGATCATGCACCCAAATGATTGCATTTCAATTTCGTTGTACTTGTACAATGACAATAAAGACATTTAATTAAATTCAATTTAATTCAGTTTTGGTAAGCAATATTTGAAAAACGTCGAAAAAAGTCGAACCGAGTTCCAAAACACACTTGTAGCCAATCAGCAGTAAAGGGGCGTGTCTACTCATGATGGGGGAGGAGAGAGCGCTCAGGACGGATATTAGCAGAACGACTACGGAAAGAGACAGACGGCAGAGAAAAAAAAAAGAAAATGTCTGCGGAATTAAACATTTAAAAGAAGGCTTACGATCAGCAATCAAGCAAGGACACTTGCCTGATCTACTGCAAGTTGATTAAAATAGGGGCGGGATCCTTTTGGGGTAGAGGCATGTTTGTTTTAGTGATTTGAAATATCAGTATTGTTTACCAGAACTCGCATACCCCTCCTTTAAATTTATACCTTGGTCGAATTAATGTTGATATTTTGAGAGTTTTTGAACTGTTTGAACAATTTATTTTGTGTTTAGTCACCTGGTCTTGAATTTATCCTCACTAAGTTATGGGTGCTGTTGGCTTTTTGAGCTGATGTGTCGTTGGAGCTCTGTAGATATTAGTTTATTAGACTTTTAATAATCAATGATTTCTCATAGTTTCTATTTGTCTCTTTCTAGTGTGGACAATGGAGAACATTTAAGAATCACACCAGGACTGAGAAAATGTAGGTCTTTTCTCTGACACACATTCACACACACACACACACACACACACACACATGTTTGTTTGACTATATTATTAAGTACATTGCATAGACGTCCACTGATTTTATAACAGGTTAATGATATTTTCTATAGCCTAACCCAAATCCTACCCTTAAACCTACCCCTCACAGAAACATGTGCAAAACAATAGACTTCATAAAAATATGTTTTGGCCAATTTGTAAGTCGATTGTCATAATATTTCACTATAGAAGTTTGGACATTTGGCCCTCACACACACACACACACACACACAGGTTTGTTTTTATGGTTTATGGGGACTCTCCATAGGCGTAATGGTTTTTATACTGTACAAACTGTATGTGCTATTGCCCTACACCAACCCTACCCCTAAACCTACCCCTTACAGGAAACTTTGTGCATTTTTAGATTTTCAAAAAAACTCATTCTGAATTATTTATAAGCGTTTTGAATTATGGGGACACTGAAAATGTCCTCATAAATCACCTTCTCGTTGTAATACCTATGTCATACCCATGTTATTATACAAATTTGTGTCCTCATAAACCACATAAACATGCACTAAAGAAGCTGCTGTTTCTGACAGATTTGGTTCCGTGAGGTCGACGCAGCATTTCCTGAGAGGCGTTCACATGTTGTGTGTCGTGTGTTTGCTTTTGAAGAGACATTTAAATGAAGTTCTGCAGCGATCGGTCATTATTCATGCCGCTGTTTAAAGTGCAGAAGGTCTGAACCACAATCTGCTGAGCAGGACAATACACACACACACACACACACACACACACACAGAGAGCTCTAAAATTGCCATTTGTGTATCTCTCTTGTTGTTTTCAGATGCCTGTAATATCACACTGGATCCAAACACAGCACACACTCAACTTGTGTTGTCTGATGAGAAGAGGAAGATTATACATGTGACAGAACCGCAGCCGTATCCTGATCATCCAGAGAGATTTGATAGCTGTGAGCAGGTTCTGTGTGTTGAGAGTCTGACTGGACGCTGTTACTGGGAGGCTGAATGGAGTGGGAAGGGTGCTGAAATAGTAGTGTCATATAAAGACATCCGGAGGAAAGGAGTGAGTGATTGCTGGTTTGGATACAATGACAAATCCTGGAGTCTGTACTGTTGTGCCAATGAATTCACTATCTGGCACAGTAATGTGAGCAATAATATACCCTTTCCTTTATTCTCTAATAGAGTAGCAGTGTATGTAGATGTGTCTGCCGGCACTCTGACCTTCTACAGCGTCTCTGACACACACACACTCACACACTTACACACATTCAACACCACATTCACTGAACCCCTCTATGCTGGATTTGCAGTTTATGCTGATTCTTCAGTGTCTCTTTGTCAGATTTAACAACTTGCTGCGAGAAACATCTGAGACATCACAAACAAGCTCTCACTTTTCCCAGCAGTCACATTTTTTCCTCTGTTTTTGTAAATTAAACAACTAACGCAGTGCTTCAATCCTGGTCCTGGAGACCCATCACTCTGCACATTTTCTTTCCCCCTTACTTGATTCAGATCATCAGCTCATTAGGAGAGAGCTCCATTAACTGAGTGTGTTAGATAAGAGAGACATACAACATGTGCAGAGCATTGGGTCGTCAGGACCAGGATTGAAAACCACTTAATTTAAAACTAAAAATGAAGGTTTTGTTGCTTTAGCTTATATATATAGGTCATCTACATGCTAGTGTACATTTGAATGTTGTCCAAACCTGTTTGTTTTTACAAAATATATCTATACAAATACTATCATATTGAAAGGGTGTGTGTGCACATCCAAGGACTTTGTAAGTGCATAAACACATCAACATGTTTCTGTTTTGTTGGAGACTCATACAAATTGCTGGCCACTGGGATCTTGAGAATACAGATGATTGTTAATCCAGAAGTATGGCGAGTAAAGCTGGAGTATATTTATGAATTGTTCACACTAGAGGAAGGTTTTTGATGCCAGGATTGATTAACTCAGGAACTGTTAGGTTAGGGGAAAAAAAATAAAAATCACCACATTAAAGCATGTAAGTGTAAAAGTTAATCATTTAAATAATATCTGAGAAAATCTTTTTTTGTTTGTTTTTTTTTGTTTTTTTTTTGTTGTTACATCGACATCTTATGTTACTGAGTATATTTTCATTTTCCCATGTGTTGTATTGGGTTTTTAAAACCATTTGGTCAGGTAACCTAAAAATGGGCTTTCTTGTGCTAACATGCTTTATTCAAGTGAAAATAAATGATCAATTACAGGTTTTATTCCAGTAAAAAAATAATTTCCAGTTGGTGAATATGACTGACTTCATTAGGTAGCTGCAGTTAAAGCAACAGGTGAAATTGTCTCTTTAAAGTAACAGCTGCACAATTTAACACTGGGTTACTGCTTTTCTTCACACATTCAATGTCTGTCCCGTTACATCTGTAAAGTTTAGATTCAGGTCTGAGAGCTTCAGATTATTAGTTCATTGAACATGATTGCATGCACACTGGATTTGAACAATACAGTTAATAAACACTCAACAGGGCTCTGTGTTGTGGGTAAAGCCCTGCTGACTGCACGGTTGTCTGTTAGTCCTGCATCACAAAATATGCTTCTCTTGATGGAAATATATCCTGATAGGCATTTCCAACTGTGCTACCCACATTACAGACCCAGCCTCTCTCATGCTGTATGACAGATGCATCATAAAATATCCACACACCTGTTAATTATATAATAATAGCCTATTCTGATTGTCAAATATGTGTAAATTAATTTGTTTTGTCGTTTAACAACCATGTTGATAATGCGCACTGGACGCTGTCCGTGGATCTGTCGGATTAACATCACGCAATTCTTATTCATGATTTATCAGATGATAATGGCTTTTTCTTATCTTATAATGATTTCATTAATAAATACAGAGTTAGAATTACAATAAAAGGTTATAATAAGGTATGTAATGCTATACCCACTGAATTGTTGAGAATAATCCAAAGCAGTTTTTCTGATCTTTTATCTAGACCTGTAGTTTCTCTTCCCTCTTTGAAAATATGTAATGTTGAGCTTTTAGACAGTAAGTGTAATACACTTATTTACAAAGAACTTAAACGTATTATCACTGGTGATTATCAGTGTTATTTTTGATGTTGAAACCTCAGTAAAGGACAAAGCTTGTACCCATTATATGGCATACCCAGTTGCTCCAAAGGCCAAGGAGACTCATTACAAAATTATGTTTAGGATTTACCCAGTTAGTGACTTTATACAAAAATACTTGTAGTTTCTGTTCTTCATTTCCTGAAACACTTGATCACCTGTTCTTTTACTGTGAGGCTTCTTATAAATGTTGGTTCGATATACATAGCTGGTTGTCAGTAAAAATGGAGACAATTCCTCCTATATCTCAACAAGATGTCCTCTTTTTTAAGTGTGATTTAAATTCATCCTTCTCTGATGTTGTAAATTTTGTTTTGTTGATGGGTAAATATCATATCCATACTTGTAAATGGAAAAAAAGTAAACCCTCCTTCAATATATTTTTATTTGAGTTTGCTAAAATGTTTCAGAGCTTCAAATGCTTCAAAAAACAATAGAAAATCTGAAAAGTTATACTTCTCTTTGTCAAATTATTTATTACTTTAGTATCTTTTTTCTTTATAATGTCTACATTGACTACATCTTTGTTTTCATCCTTGCTCCTTGTGTTTATTTATTTATTTTTGATGTTTTTTTTTTCTTCTTCTTTAATGTAAACTCTGTGTTTGTCTCAATGGAAGTGTCTTACATTGTTGGTTGTTCCCTGTCTTGTTATGTACATTAAAGGGGTCATATGATGCGATTTCAATTTTTCCTTTCTCTTTGGAGTGTTACAAGCTCTTGGTGC